TCATCCAGGATGAAGTAGTCAAATTATTAGATGTTCCCTTTATACATGCCTTTTTTTTTTTTTTTTCCAAAGTATCAGGTTGGAACTGAGATTTATTCTTTCCTTGTTTTGCAAGAGGTGAAATCCCTGCTTATCCAAAAAGTGTAACTCTGGTGCTCCCAGGCATCGAAGCAGAGGGAAGCGTCATGAGCCACCGAGTTCCTGGAAGATAGCCCCAGATGTGAGTAAATGGAGTAAATGTTGAATATTGAATGAATAGCAGATGCAGCAAGGAAGAAAAAAAAAAAAAAAAAAAAAAAAAGCCTAACTGGCCTAATGGTTAGCATGCTTGGGATGGATTTTCAGGATCAAATGAAAGATGCGGCGATCTGATCCATTCATGCCGTAGTATGTACGTATCAGTGGTCTCAGCTAGAGACTTAATAACCTAGCAGCAGGGCACAAAGAGGAGAGTGTGAATGTTCCAACTGTGAGGAGCTTTTGCAGAAAACAAGGAATGCTTTCACAGCACTTCGCTCCACTGTTGGTATAGGACTGATTCCTCAACAGCCTGGTACTCGGGATTCTCTTTTAAAACACTGGTGTCTGTTCCTCAGGCTCTGCTAAGATTAATTAGGTACCTGTCCCTTCTGCTTTAAGAGGAACAAATCAAAAGCACGTGTCTGTTTCATTTAAAATAAGTGAAATACTTGGAGAAGATGGACAATGTTCTGTCGACACATATAGGGCTATAAATACTTTCATCCCCCAACCATTACTGCAATGTAACAAAAATACAACTTTAAAATAAAAGAAGAATGTTAAAAATATGCAACCAAGGTGCTACACACAAAACTCAAATGTTTGCATGCAGAACTGACAAGAAAAACAGGCTCAATGACGAGGCCCAGTGAAGAACATGGATCTCTCAGGAGATGCCTGAGCATTCAGGACACATGCGGAGAGGAAGGAAAACTATTCTCAAATCCTGCATCCATGCAGTGCCGTTCGGTGGGGTCTCCAGGAACCAGGATTTCTCTGATTCAGTCTCTGTATTTGGCACAAAGGTGCTGCTTTTCTGTTGCATTGGGTCTCCCAGCTAATATTCAGGGGCTCAGCTATGAGGCAGCTGGGGTAAGCTGAGCTGATACAGAAGCATCACTGTGCAGGCCTATTTCTACCTCTTCTCCAAAACACGATGCCACTGGTGTTTTTCCAGCCATCATTCTCCCCTCAAGTTCCATGAGAGAAGGCAGAAAGCCAGGGGAAAAGGAACCTTGTTGTAGAGGGAACTCTTACCCCTGCAGCCATGAATGAAGCCCTACGCTCGGGTTTGCACCCCCAAGGAAACCTCTTTCTCACTTAGCAGTCACCTATATAAGATGCAAAGGCAACGCGGGAGTCTAGACAAGGTCCTCCGCCCCGGCTATGGTATTGGAGGCAGGAATGTCCATTCCCCTGTGCCATCTCTTCCCATACTGCCTTGAAATGGCACCGTGGCCAGGGGAGCGCGCGAGGAGCATTCCCACTCCGCAGCGACCGCGGCCTCCACGGGCTGAGGAGGCCAGTGAAGCTCTGATCCCGCGTGTCCATGAGGCCGAAGCAGGAGCAAGATGTGGGGCTGGAGGGCACCTGCACCTCCAGGCCCCTGCATGAAGCGACTTGAGTCCCTGCCGCAACAAACAGGGAAGGTACAAAGCAAAACGCAGGGCCCTGACAGTTAATTACCCAGACGTAATTCTGGTCTCCAAAACCCAAGTTTAGCCTTAAATTTCTTAGCAGGGTGTGAGAACTCGACTCTGCTGTTTACAACACGCTGCATCATTTAAGCACGGATCTTTGGGGGTTATATGTAACAAGGCTCTGTGGCTTCGCAGCACTCGAAAATGTTGGGGGAAGTTGGTACAAACATCTACAGCATCTCCACAGAGAAGTTAAAAACAGAGAATTTTATTGGATTAAACAGATCAAAATAAATAACGAGGTTGGGGCTTATTATTAAAATTCGTTTAAGTTCATTCCACGTTTGAGGTTTCTCAGTATGCAGATCACGTTTCAGAATTGCCAGTATCTCAGAAGAATGGGAGTAAGATTAATACTCTGCCTTGATTCTACCCATCGGCAAGCTACGGGAGACTTCTTTTTTAAATACCACTGAAAATTTGCCTTGGAAAGGTAAGAGCTAGTCACAAACGCAGTGAATGACAGAATTCAACGCTTTCCAGGCTAAAAACATGTAGGATTCTTTTGGTGATGCTTTGTGCTAAAATAGGGATGCATTTTATCTAAACAGTAGGATCATACACATTTTTATGTTTAGAAATTTACTCAAAAACCTTATAAAAGTATTTTTCAAATACTACAGCTGAAAACAATGCATGACAGAAACAACCTGCAGCCCTACCACAAGAAAATGGCTATGACCAAGTCTGATGGACAACGGGGAGAGCACAGATTACCAGAAATATTACAGAATTGCTGTCATTAAAAATAGTGAAACATTAATAACACTACAGGAAATACTAAAAATACAGTAAACTTTGCAGTTCATAGATTCTGTAAGAAGTTTTAGTGCTGCGTTAGTTATTACTGGAAATCAGGAACAGCAGGTTGACAGTCCTGGCTGCTTCACCAACAGTGGCACTGAACATACATTGCAAATGTATGTACATACATTGAATGAACATACATTTCAAATCCCAGGATTTGGGATTTGAGTACTACCGGTCATTGAGACAGGTAACATTCAACTAGCACATGAACAAACTTATAAAACTCCCTGAAAAACTGCGCAGAAATCAGCAGTGACGGCCAGGGCTGGGTAAACAAGAGAGCGCCATGTGCGTCTGCCTGCGGCGCGGCGCTGGCCGCAGCTCAGAGCTGACTTTGGAATTTGTGTCCCAAGGATCTGTCTGTCCCCATCCACCTGGGGGTCAGTTTTAAGTCTGGACAGAATTGTCCTGGCCATTTCTGGCCAGGGACTTGAGAACTGAAAGCTTTCTGAACTAGAAAAAACCTCCCTTTCACAGCAATAGTTTAAAACACACCACAAATTCATCATCTCTCACGAAAGCACAGGAAAACAGTTCACAGAGGAAAAACACCTCAAACCTCCTCAAGATAGTTGTTAGCTTCAAAGTTCATTTTCCCCTTTTATTCCCCTCCCTCTGCACTCCATAACGTGGCTATTCTCTTTTTGTTTCCTTTTTTTGTGTTGTTGTTTTTTAAATAAGCAGATGCAATCAAGGAGAAATTTATTGTGAACCAATTCTGCAAAACAGTTCAACAATGCCATACTTTATAAAAATACTTAGTTACATAATTAAACTTATTACTATTTATATAAAAAATGTGAATGTGAATTTTAAACTCTGTTAGGGGTAAGAACCACATCAAGGTCTTGAGGTGAAACACAAATAAATTCTCATAAACATACAATCTCTTTTGGAGAAGTTTTATAATACACAACCATTTACAATGAACACGTTCATTAAGTTAGTGTTTTATTCCTTTACTATACAAGTGTTACCACAATGAACTGTTCCATTCAGTAATTAAAATCCAAATAATGCCAGTGTCATTTTCTGGCATTCTTTGTTATAGCTGTATTAATACATAAACTCACATGATTGTGTTATTCATTTTAAAATATTTAGAAAAATTAAAATTCCTTTTTTTTGGCCTTTTTTTTTTATACATAAAGCCCTTGTAAAATTTGATAACCACAGATGTACAAATGATATGGGATGAGGAAGGAAAATGGAATATGATGGCACTGCTCTTATAAAGATCCATTTGGTAGCTAGATTCAGTGTAGTGTAAACCCATGGAAGGATGTAAGGTTTAGTACCGAAACTATAACCAACATTTCTGAAACCTGCTTGTTGGATAGCTTTGCAACGATAATACGAATTTCAACCCAACAGCTAAGTATGAGTTTAGTGTTTCAAAATTAAATTATACAAGCTTGATCAGAAATTCAAAAACCTCATGCAAACTGTTGAACAGAAGACATGATGTTATTGCTCGATATGTCAGAAGGTGAAGAAAATAAAATCTAGATGTTTTGTAAGCTGCGCTGAATGCCAACAAAAGTTCATTGTCACTATATTCAGTCAACATTAAATATACTTTATCCCTTTAGTTTCTAAGCTTTCACATTTTCTTCTGTTTACTTTTACTTAAATAATTCTATGGGAAGGGTAAAAGTGGGAAGTGAAACTGTGTCTAAGAGTGTCTTAATAGTCAAGAAAAGCAAAAGTGCAATCAAATCCCTGAACTAGTGACAGTTTACATTTGTGGCACCCACCCTTATTAACAATATAAAAGCCACATATAACAGTACCAAATCTGTCTCTGAAAATGGACTAAAAGTGGCCATTTATCCACTTCGGTCTTGCTTTCTTGGTGAGCTTTGTTCAGGTAGCCTTCCCACACAAAAGCTCTTTGTACGATTGGAGCTTAAAAGATCAAAGGATTTCCCCCCACCCCAATTTTATTATATAGTTTCAAGTTCAAATATCATCATACTTTATCAGCGTAACTTTATAAAATATTACCTCATTTTCTAGTTACCTTCATTATTCTTAATTAGCTATGCAGAAAGAAAAAAGAAAAATCTCTCATGCTACTTTCCAGTTACATTAATAACACGTATTAAACACAGTGCATTATGCTCTCTAATTTCACTATTGAGGTCTACGATTTAGATCAAAGTTTGTCATACACTGCTCCAATTTCTCTTTTAACCTGCCTACCCTAATTAAGTCCATACAAGAGGAAGCTTAAAGATCAAGTCTACGCATCAATAGGGTTGTACAGGTTGTACCACCTTTTAGGGAAAAGACCCACGGAATTTTGAATGCAGGAAGTTTTACAGAACTGGAATAGAACTATTTGGTCCCATAAAGTTCCTCTGCTTTAAAATCCTACTGAGAATCACTTGCAACTCCAGACAATTCCCTCTGTAGTTGAATGATTATTAAATGCTGGGAAACAAATGATTTGAAACATTGGGTTTGCTGCTATTGTTCACACCAACTCTTGCTTTATCACCCTGTATTTTCAATAAGCTTCCTTTGGACCCTGAAATAAGTTGGGAAAAAGAAAAAACAAACAAACAAAATTCCATCATTGGTAAATTAGATTATAACACTTCAAAAGTGGTTTTGTGCAACTGTATTATGAAATTCCAGTTTGCCATTAAAAGCATGCAAAGTAGCGAAGATTTTCTTTCCTTTGATTCCTTAAAGACATCAGGAATTCTTTGCAAGTCTTTTACATTTGGCAGATTTGTGTATGTTATATAGATTGTTGGCTTATAAATTGTCTCCAGGCTGGTACTGTGGTTCTGTAGCAGTAAAGTAGTCCTCCAAGAAAGACTGTATATATTCAAATGTTGGTCTCTCATCAGGGTCCTTCTTCCAACACAGTTTCATTAACTCATGGAGAGACTCTGGACAGCCTTGTGGACAAGGCATCCTATATCCACGTTCCACTTGTTCCAGAACTTCCCGATTCACCATCCCTAAAACAAAAGCATTTCATCTTTGAATGACGTTATACAAAGTCCAGTTTGTGGTATTTTTTTTTCAGATCTTCTTTCTCCAGACACAATGCTGTCAGGACATGCATGTGAAACTACCATGACAGCGCCTGAAAGCAGCATGCTTCCTACTGAATGAATTTAAAACACTTTCCATTAAATACATTTTCTGAAAATTATTTCATTATACCAACAGTTCCTCAATACCTGGTTCTTCATTCATTTGTATACCTATTCTTATGTTTTGATACAGGTCATTTAATACTGCCTTGTGCACGAGTCACCTTTGCAAAAGGAAAGATCCAAGTATCTTCTGTGTGCATTAATTCAAGTCAAGGACCACTTGATTTGTATCTGACAATGAAAGGGACAGCATATACCCAACAGAAGTGTCCTAAAATTCCAGTCACAAATGACAAAATGTCTAACAAAACACGTGACACATGTTTTGTTTCAAAAACTGGTCTAACAAGTTGACTCTACAGATGCTGTGAGTTGGCAAAACGTCAAAAATAAAAATTTTAGAATCTGATAGCTAGGTTAGCAAAACATAAGTGGTCTGAAATGACCTATCAGTCACATTTATAAATGCAGAACATGGAACACTTTAATTATACGCTGGTTAATCTGAAACTAAAATAAGAAACTTTGTGAACACAAGAGACAGAAAAGTGTGACTAAGTGTTTGTCTCTGCTTGTCGACTGGGGACTCTGAATGAAGCCACAAAGTACAAACGGAGGCTTCAAAAGCACAGAAAAAAACACTGCACCACTAGATTTAGAAAAAATCACTGCACCACTAGTAGACCACTACTAGGAAATGCACTAGATTTTCCCCTTACCTGGGTATGGCACTCTCCCCTTCGTTACCAGCTCTGTCAGCAGAATTCCAAACGACCACACGTCTGACTTGATTGTAAACCGACCATACAACGCTGCCTCGGGAGCTGTCCACTTAATTGGAAATTTAGCTCCTAAAGACATTGGAAAGAGAGATACTTAATTTTCCCTTGCTTATGAATCATCTGCTTAACATTTTGGAATATTTTGAAGTAATACTGCATTTAAATTTTTACGCTCTTTTTTACTGAACCAAATTTGAGGTGACTTAGTACCTTAATATTTCAAACTTAAAAGCATTAGGCTAGCAACTACTGGCTACAATTTTTCTAAGCAGTTTAAAAGGGGAATGATCTTAAGATGTGATGAGCACCCTCTCTGGAATCTCAGCCCTCTTCAAACACTAGCAATTTATTTACCTAAAAAAAAAAAAAAAAACTAAAAAATGTATTTGAGGAAATAAGTAATCTGCCAAACAATTTTGAAATTAGAAACTTTGCAAAAACTGGAGGAGAAGCTGCAACTAAACTTGCACAACTGTGATGGTACACTTATATGAATAATTTTTACTGCACAGACAGAACAAATTCTGCTAAATGTGACAACTTATAATAACTTTAAGGCAACTGGATGTATTTATTCAGTCTTACCTTGTCTTGCGGTGTACTCATTGTCCTCTATTAACCTTGCTAAACCGAAGTCTGCTATTTTACACACAAGATTGTCTCCTACAAGAATGTTAGCTGCCCGGAGATCCCTGTGGATGTAGTTCATTCTTTCAATGTAAGCCATGCCATCAGCAATCTTAAAAATAAAGTTTTATTAAGAATTACTTTGAGGACTATACTAACTTCTTCAAAGCATTCCCATTACATAAGCATGGGAAGTATCACAAAGCAAGACCTTATGAATGACCTACTAATTACAGGATGTCTGGTTACACAGTATTTGCTAATTTGGTGCTAGATAGCTTTCTTTTGACAATTTACAAATCTACAACAGAAGATGTAAAGAAAAGCAAGCAACAGATACAACATCCAATAATTATGCTTAGTTGATACCTAATATTCTTTCAAATCTCTTCTCTAAAAACAAAATACATATTTTTGGTTCATAAAATATACCTGTGCAGCCATGTCAACCAGTTGGGGGAGTTTTAAGTACTTCCCTTCTCCTTCTTTTAGGAAGTCTAGCAAGCTGCCTGTAAAAAATAACACAAACGTTTAGGGAAAACATGGTAAAAATCATAAACTTGACCTAGACACGATGATTCAGCTTCCAACCTCTGTTTGGAAACCCTCATTTACTAAAATCCATAACCCAATCAATGCTCATAGTTGACTCTATCCTTATTCTTAAGGAAAATACAAAGAGTGAATAAAGAGTAACAACTAATCAATCTTTCAAAACCATGATGAGTGTGGTGATTGTGAGGGGAAAAAAAAAATCACTGAGTTGTGGATTTTGCAGTGGAACTTATTGCAGCAGCCATGAATTGAGTCTCTGATATGTTTTCAGTCAGTTGCTGTATTTTTTGCATCAAAAGTACAAGTGTGACAGGTCAGACCCACGCTGCTGCTGCTGCTGTTTATTTGGGGACTTAGCATAGACTTATCCCCATCTCAGATCATGAGCTCAGAGGACTTCAGAAAAAGATTTCAAAAGGACATCAGCTATCTGTCCACATTGCAAAAGTTATTTTCAGCTCCTACCCAACTTTTTTTTTTCTGTGATTTGAGCAGAAGATTGTGTTTTCTAAAAACTGGAAAACTGATTTGAGAATCCACTTCTTAACGCTAATATGCTTAAAATGTTTACTTCCACAGTTGGCCTAAATCTTTAAATCCCTTTTCCTGAAGGGAATGGGGAGAGTGAAATGATGTAGAGTAAGGGAAGGAGAAATGGACGGAAAACAAGAGAGAAAAGGAGAAGCCTCGTAAAGTAAAACAAAACAACAACAAAAAAATTCCAAGCTATTTAAAATTTGCAATTATTCTACCAGACAGAAAACAAACCCAACTGATTCTGTGGCTGTGAGCATGACCTTACTATAGGTAGGCACACCCTCATTAAAATATTCCCAGATATAATAATCTAATTTACATGCAATACAGGCAGTACATACCTAAAAAAAATAAAAAAGGAAGAAAAAATATCTCTTGGAAGATTAACAAGGATGAAACAGATGTGCAAAAACCCCATGCTCTAAATCCGAACTGCTTCAAGTAGGTCAAGTGTTGCTCATTTTAATCTAATCAAAATTACCATTTATACTCCAGTCACTTTAAACCTAATGTTAATTAAACATTTACCTTGTTGCTGGTACTTTAAATAAACTTTTAAATTCAGTATCAAAGAAGCTATTCAGACACACACCTTTTGTCATGAATTCTGTGACGATGTAGATTGGTTCCTCAGAAACAACAGCGTACAGGGGAACAAGCTTGTCGTGTCGTAATTTCTTCATGATCTGTGCCTCCTGCAGGAAAGCTTCTGGCATCATTGTACCAGGTTTTAGTGTCTTGATTGCTACTTTTGTGGTTCCATTCCATGTTCCTAGAGAACCAAATTACATTTTATTCTCTGCTAGAATGCTGAAGAGTTTTTCCTACTACTAAAACTATTTGCTTTTTGCTTCTGCTTTGACAGCTAATAATTATAAATTAGTAACTATATTGAAAATTAGTTTTAACTTTACATGAGCGATCACAATTACTTTTCTCCTCACTTCTTTATCAGATTATCTCTCTAGATTTTAACACTGATATACCTAAAATGTTATTAAAACAATCACACAAACAATTGAGAAGTGCTACCCTTACCCATCCACACTTCACCAAAGCATCCTTGGCCCAACTTAACCTCTAGCCTCAAAGATTCTCTGGGAATTTCCCAGGCATCTTTTGCTAGTCCCTGGGTTTGCGGTTTCACAGTTGGACACACAGTTGTCAGCTTATGGCACAGTCCATCAGCATGTTCTGGAAAACAGAAAATCAAGTTTTGCAGATAAATGGAACAGAACTATAATAAAAGGAATATGTTAATGTTGATAAAAGAACAATTTAATTTATTGTTTGTCAAAGTCAAAAAGCATTTTTTATAACAGTAAATTAAAAAAAAAAGCTACATATGCAAATTTTCATCCTTGCAGTATGAACAAAGAAATATGGGATCACTGGAATTTAGGCTTACCTCTGTAGTGCTTTACCAACTTCTGCAGTGATTCAAATTGTGCTCTGGTTGTGATATAGTATCCACCATTATCAAGTTTTCTGATTTTGTAGTGTTTCACATTGTCACCTCTGACCTCATCCCAGTCACGTATAGAAAGGGAATAAGCACCTAAAAAAAAATTTGGGGGGTGAAGAACCCAATAGAAAATCATATTTAATTCATTTCCCCTAGTCTCATCACACGTATAAGTATAATGTAATAAACGTAAAAATGGTCACAATATTTGGGAGGCCAGGGCAACAGGGGGAGAGAAGGAAAGGAAATATGCAGAAATACACATACCTTTAGTGGTTTCACTCTCTCTTACTAAGAAAATACCACGCTGGTTCCCAGGATTTAAGAGTAGCCTTTCTGCATCCTTCCTGCCCATCTTACCAAAATACCATCTAGAAAAAGTTAAAGAAAATATCTGTAAATAAAGATAAGCTTATGTAATCACATAAAGAAAAAAAAAAGATTTAGAAATCTGAATTACTGACCGGAGTACTAAAAAGCAGTTACACATCATGACTCCCACATAACCGAAATATTAAAGTGATCTATTTTTATTTTAATAAAGTTCTAACTTCTGTTATTTTCACATTCTCTATAAAGAGGCCTATATCCACAAATGTTATGTGTTTCTGACGGCTTAGGAATAGACATCATCAGTCTGCACCGGCTAAAGTAACACACTCCCGGTGGTTAAGAAGTCTGTATAACAAATACAATGACAAATGACAGGGAAATGTTGTTGGTAGCGCATGCAGAGCACTTCAGCACCCCTAACTGTGTTTTCTTCTGTAGATATTTCAATTAATGTGCTAGAAAGCATTGCTTAATGCCAAACGGGTTTATACAAAAATCCTAGAAAACAGAGCAACTGGAGTAGGAAGGGCCTTGCAGAGCTCTCTAGTCCTGTCTCCGGCTCCAAACCAGGTTAGCTCTGAGATCAGACCAGATTCCTCAGGGCTACATCCATTTGGGTCTTGACAAACCTGCAAGGATGGAAACTGCACAAGATCTTTACGCGGTCTGCACCCCTGCTAGGCTGTCATCATCCTGATTTTTTTTCCTTATGTCCAGGTGGAGTCTCCCCTTTTTCAGCTTTATGCCCATCCTCTCTTCTTTCACAAATGGGATTTCTTCCCCCATGCTCCCAAGGCACACTCAGCCTCAGAAATATTATGCACAAAGTTCTGTCCTGGGCCAGGGATAATTTTATCATCCAGCTCCCAGGGAATCTTCAGGCTTTGGAAAAAAAACTTACTTCTAATCATATTTTATTGGGACTGGGTGCCTCAGAAATTGTAAAATGATGCGAAATGTAAATTTCAGACATTTTAATTTGGGATAGTTGTAGCATCAAGGAAATCTGGCATTGTAGGTGCAGGGAGAAAAAAAAAAAGCAGTATCAGAAATTACTGCAAAACAGCGACTGTGGCAGAAATGTTTTGTGTGAGAAAAAAAAGAAAAGCAGGTAAGAAAGGATCATTTTGTTGGCATGTGATCAGAATGACCTACGGAATCATTTGAAATACCAAAGTTACTTTTTATATTTCCTTATGCTTGCAGTTCGACCGTTAAAGTAGACATTTAAAGTTAGAATGAGCTATGGGAGTATGTATGTTTAGGACAATTTGGATGTAACCTATAATTTTACTGAAGCAAACTTCCACCCCAGTAATCATTTCACATGAAAATGGCACTACCCTAGACCACTATAGCTATTTACAAATTAGACTGCAAAGTGTTATTTTGTTTTACTACCTATAAAGTCATAGAAGGGTTTATTTGTCCTTTTATGAGCATTCAGTATTTTTAATATGAGAGCATTCAAAAGCCATATGGATAATACGGATTCTGTTGTAAGCAGCTTGTGATATAAAGGTCTTCAGGCTTAGAAAAGACCACTTAAGAAAGAAAAGCCTAACAATTCTGTGGCCGTGTAATTCTAGACCTTGTGATTCCAGCTGCAATAACAAAACAAAAATTTATAAATGCTACCAAAGCCAAGGACTAACAAGCAAACTTTAAAGTAAATGAAATCTATTCCAAGTGCTGTGGTACCATTTAATAAAATTAGCACTAGTATTTTAAAATATTCAGTTTTTAAAAAAAGTCCTTACTCATTGACTCTCAGTCCCTGTGATAATGTGCTCCTTCCCTGACCTCTCCATAAATAGCCCCCAGCCAGGTGCCGACTGAGCACGAGCCAACTAAAATCTGCCTTGGACATAAATATCAGTATGAGGACAAGCATCTTCCCCCCAGGGAATGGGAGAGCCGCTGAGCCCTCCTACATGGCAGGCTGCACTGCAGAACCAGCTCTTGATCAGGGACGCTTCCCAGCGGTACTGCTGGAGGTCGAGAGCTTCCCACCTGCGACACCTCCTCAGGAAGTGGCTAAGAGCGTGTGGAAAATCTGCCCAACTTCACGGACCTTTGCAAAGCTGCATCTCCGATTCACTGCGCACGAGATCCTTCAGGCACAGACCGCAGACCACGCCTGAGACTACGACAGGACCCAGCCACTGCCAGACTCCCCTGGGGAGGGGTTTGGAGAGGAAGGGGGTCCGTTCCGAACCTCGTGTCTCGGCCTCCTGGACGCTCCCATCTGACCCTGTCCCCCAGGCGGTAAATAGCTGAGTGAACCTTGCCCATCAACCCTTCTTAAATCACTGTCTGTCTTAATGACTGGACTCTGTTAAATCACTATCTTATCTCAATAAAACATGCTGCTGCTTCTCTCTTACAGTGAAGTGTATCACTCCTCACTTATCCACAACAGTCCCACCTCCAGCCATCACATAAACCTGTGTCAAATCCCCCTCCTCGTCCTTTGCAATATGCAGGAGCAGTATTCAGGAGCAATAATTTCCTTCTAGAAACACTGCATTCTTAGCTAGCAAATGGACTTTTTCTACCGGCACCACCATTAATAGCAATAATAGTTTAAAATTATTAAAAATAATATTTAAAATTATCACATAGTTTAAAGATCTCTATTTTTTGGCTTATGGATCATGATTTTAAAAATAACTGAACTCCAGGACATCAAGCAACCCTATGTCTTTGACACAATCACTTTTCAATAGCAAAGTGGCAGGTGAGAGCAGCAGCAACATGCTAAAATCTCAGCAGGAGATTCAGGAAACATCTTGGAAATTGGGCTGTTCTCCCAGACGTGCAGTAGGAAACACAGAAGTGCCCAGATCAGGTATCAGGGAATCGCTTACTAGCAGTACCATGCCCATATACTGAGCAGTGGAGTTTTATAGTTTTAGTACAATAAATGCAATTAATCCCTTGAAACAAATACTCCTAAGATTGCACCCCAACTCGTAATTCCCAAAATGATTCCATGCAATTTTTAAGTGCTCTGGGAATAAATGAATGTTGAATGTGCTGGTACTGCAAACAATGTAATTTTCTAAGTTCAAAACAGTCCTTAGCTTTTTGTACTGAAAAGTTGTTACAGACTGATAGCTTAACAGTAACTGCCCATGTAAATGTTTTTTCAAAATGTGAGACTAGAGGCCATTAAGGATAGGGCTGACCTTGAATGAGGGTTCGCCAAGCAAAAAATATATATAAAAACCTGGAATTGAGGGTGTGTGAACTCTTGATGGAAAAACACGTTTTTGTCTTTAGCCCTACATAGAGCAAACAAGCATATAACATTTACATGAGTATCCACCTCACACCTCTTAATAATTATACCTTTAACACCATTTAAATAGCATTTCTATCACTGAATTAGTGGCATTATCCTACTTCTTCATTAAGTATGCCATGTAGTGACACCATCACCATAGGACTGCAAGCACAGAATGGATAATAAGAACAGACTGACAGGAAACAATGTGTCTTACTCTTCTGCTTGAATGGAGTCTGCAGGAGCTACATAATTGCTTGGGATGTAGCCTGTTTTTCCTGTAGCAATGGATCGTGCTTCCCACCAGTCTCCTTCCCTGCAATGCAACATCAATTATCTCTTCAACATATAAACAATGCATAATTCCCTAAAACGTGGAATTTCACGCTTTTTGCAGGTTAGACTTCAGATAACATTTTATCTTAATTAAGAAGGCATACAAAATGACTTGTACTGCACTGGAGTTTATTTCGTTTTACTGTAAACTATGTGAGTGCTTCTTAGCAGAATTTTGTATTTTAATTTTTCTAAATATAAAAGCAGCATTTATCTATATATGCAAAACACTAATCTGTAACAAGAAGTTTCATGGTAGAGCTGTAAACAAACACACAGTATCTAGCCTTAATCTGCCTTAGATCACTGCCACAAAGCAAAGAGCAACAAAGCAAAGCAAAGTCAGCTAATAAAACTGGACAACTTCATGAATGAAACCTATCGCATGTGTGAATTGGAACTGTTACCTCAGCCAAAAGCTGCGTGTAAAGAAATCTCCAAGGTGAACAAATAATTTTATCTTTAATAGGCTTTTAGAAATCTGATCATAATACTGTAACATTACTGCAATTAAGCTGGAATATCAAACTGCTCGAATAATCTAGAGTGGATTTACAAAAGAGCTTGGCAAGATCCACTTGGAGCTGTCCTTGCCTGGAGCCAAGGTGCTCAACTCCTGCATCCCCAGCGCAGTTTTCTCCCATTCCCCTCAACCTACCCGTAAGGGAGAACCTGTAACATGTGGAGTCTGGGGTTACATGACCTTCCACCTCTTCTGCCAGAAAAGGGACAACTGTGCCTCATTACAGGAGGAGCTAAAGGATATAACCCTATTGACAAAGGAGAAGAGGGCGCTGGAATTCCTCAAGTTATTGTCTTATCAGTATCAGTATTTTAACCCCTTCTTCGTTGAACTCCCCTATTCAAGTAAAAAATCCGTCTACTCTTCATTGAAAAATGATTTAAAGAAACGCTCAGTTAGTATTTATTCCCAAGAACATCCAAGTCTGAGTGACAGAACTTACGTGTTGTTAATGATCTGGAACCGTTCACCTTTCTTAAATGAAAGGTCATCTGTAGTTCTAGCTTCATAATCATATAAGGCCACAAATACAGTAACACCACCTTAGGAAAAAGGGAAAAAAAAAAAAAAAAACACCTTTGATATAGAAGCAATGATTTTGATTTAAGGACTAGTCCACAAAAACAACTCAGCAAATTTTACTGGGAAGCAAATCAACACTTTGGGTTCCATCTCACTGTAGAAGCTGGATCAGTAACCACTAAATTTCTTAAGGCAGAGGAAACTCTACAAACAAATACCTCTAAAAAAAAAATAAATAACTTCCCAACCCCCTCAAAAAGGCAGCTAGGTACATCATTGGAAGTATATTAATAGTTAGAGTACTTATACAATAAAATCTGCACAACACATTAACAGTTAAGCTAATTTATTTTAATAAATGCAACCCAAGACAATCTTAGAGTACCTCGAAAGCATTGTATAAAGCTATCAATTACAAACTTTTACAAAATAATTTCTCTGTTAAACCTCTCTACAAATAACTGATGTGTCCCCATCTTGATGGGACTACACATCAAACAATGAAACTAAAAACTGAAGTAATGCATAAGGGACAAAAACATTAAACCTAGAGCAGTGAAATGTCTTTTTAATTCCATCCAGTCTCCCAGTCAGTGAAGCAGACCTTTGCTGAGGATGGTCCGTAACTAGACTACTGTAGAGACTGATATCTAGAAATTTCTCAGGGTGAGCATTCACACTCCACCAGCTCTTTGGAATTTGCTTCCCCTGCCCTTCTTCTCGTGCACAGCGTGTTGCTGCCTGTCGCTTGGACAACACGCAGGTGTGAGAGGATGACGGTAGAAAGTCTCCTTTACTTACTACACAAAAACGTTTTCTCGCCTTTAAAGATCTATAAAACTGGACGAAAGGAGGAGTAGGAAAGAAAGAAGAACAGGCTGTATGACACATACAAGGCAACAATAACTACGTACCATAACTAACAGAAATTTAAAATAGAAAAAATGCTCATGAACAATTCAGAAAGACTTCCCAAAATCTAGAAAGGTTGTTTCACAATCAGTGGGAGTTTAGGAAGCTTAATGATAGACCAAGCAGAAAAAAAAAAAATCAAGAGTATAATATGATGTTTCTAACATGCATATATACGTACATAGACACACATGGAAGACCACCTACAGAAATATACTATTTCTATTTTTAGATGTTACAATTAACATGACAGACAGTGCAATGGATATGCAATGGGTATTTTCTACTTCTGATGTTACTATTTTACTATGGATAATTTCTGTCAGAGAAGTTCCAAGTCATTTAAATACTTTCATTTGATTAAAAGTCTTCCTGTGATCTCACTACCTCAGCAGGACAAACCTGGAAATGATTTACAGTTCATCTAGGAAAAACAGAACAACAAAATGTCCTCGTGAGATGTTCAGAGTAGGTTTAACACGTGATTTACATATCAAAACTAGTTAGAATATCACCCAGAAGTTAACTCCTAATCTAAGTCAAAAATTAACAGTTATACAATTTCCCTGTGTGTCATTGCATTATTATTTTGATGACACAAGGCTGCTGTATGCAGAAAAAAATGTGGGATAATATTCCATATTCATATAAACAGAAACCAAATGTTTAGGGAAATAAACCACCTCCACAGAACTCTTCAGCAGATGAAGAAAATCAATACTCTGAAATCACAATATTACTTGTTTATAAAGCAATGGGAGACTCCACTTCAGAATAAAACTCCCTATATCTAGAAAGATATTAATTCAACATTGGAACAAGACAGATATTAGTTCTCCTAAACAACACTAGTAAAAAAAAAAAAAAAAAGGAACAATGGATTCAGATATAATCCATGAAATAAAAGCTATAATTTGTGCACTTTTAATTATTTAAGAACACCAAAAAGGCTCGTACATAATCCTTGTGAAGTTTTGTTTCGATTTCAACATTTTGGCTAATAAAATCTCTTTTATTTACACTCACAAGTTTATGTACATTCACAATCTCTTTTATTTACATTCACACAGCAAAAAAAACAATAGAAAGACTTCAGGACAACAGCACCACGGAGTATTTCAAACAGATACATTTCAAATGCTCCTCAAAGGCTCTCACCACTGTCATATCTGTGGCTCATTCCAAGGTGATCCAGTATTTAATGCTGCTTATGGATCTAGCATGCCACTTCAAGGCTATCCTTTGATTAGGGGATAATTTTCTTCTAATCTATACGTGGTTTTGTAGAAAGCAGCAAACTTTCCTGCTCAGCATGAGGATGAAAGCCTTACAGCTAGGAAGCCTTATGGAAAGGAAGAATAATGATGGCCACTTTTTCTGTTTTCATTTTCAATAATACTCTATGAGTTCAAAGTGTTTGATGACTGAGAATGTATAACATAGCGGCAATGTATCTTACACAGATCTCTCCTCTTTTTCTGCTCTAACAGAATAAAGATGGCCCAGCTCTCTCCAACCGTACAGCTACAGGCTATGATGACAACCCTATCACCCTTCTATCAGGCCTCACTGATGGACTGGTTTAAGTACTACTGACACTTACGTTCTTCTGCTTGACAAGCCCATCTATTCTCTCTCTTCCTAAGCAAAAGGCCACGGAACAGGATCTACTATTTTATTTGTCATGGTTACTGGAGGCTTATCTCTGCACAAAGACGGCTGTGGTGCGCATGATGCCTCTGTAAACAAATTATGCATCAAGATTTATTCTGGTCTGGTTCATAATACAACAAAACAGGCAAGCCTGGAAGACCCAGTTCACTGTCATGAGCTGTATGACACCTACCTGCAGCTTTGATGACTTACAACTAGACAAAATCTGTTGTTTTATTTATTCACACACAAAAAAAGGCAACTTGGATCTAAAAATTGGAACTACATTTACCCAAAATTGTTGGTGATTTATTTTATATTTGGGAAAAAAAAAAAGGAAAAGGTGCGAGGAAGGGGGGGACGGGACTGATTTTGCAAAGTAATGAGAAATGATTACGTAGGCAGCATCATTTTTACCAGATTGTAAAATGATGGAGGCATTTACCCAAATCAACCCAAATGCACACTGATGAATTCAAGATTACCTTCCCATGAGAAATCTCTCTTGTTGGTCCTGGTCCAAGATACATAGCATGCTTAACACTAACTAGCACAGGGACAGGCAAAAGAACCTCCTTTCTGGTCTCTGCAGCAAAACATTTATGTTATTTGGGGGTGACATTCCTGGCATCAGGTGATGCTCAGGAGTGCTCAAATTCTGATGCGAGCAAAGAGTCAGATCTGGTAGAAGGACATGCACTGAGGCCCTTGGTGGAGATGAAGACTTCTTTAAGCACACCAAAGTTTACTTACTAGTGATAATGAATTAGAAGAAATGCTGCTATTATTTCATTCCTGCATATGTTATTCCAAAACTAGGATTCAGAGTTGGCTTAAAAAAATGGAGAGAAGATAGATGCTCATTTTAATTATCTGGTTTTTAATGGATTCCCATAAGGGGATAGGAGGTGATCATTATCTGACCATCATACTTGGTTTCCAGAACTGCTTAATGTCAGGGCCATCAGGGTTTTCATGAATCTCAAATTTCTTGTGTTTTGAAGCTTTTAAATGCCACAGTAACTAAGCAAACATTTAAGCACTGTAGTTGTGCTAACATTAGAGTTTTGTGGGGAAACTAAAAATAGACTAACAAAGAATTATTTACATTATTTTGTGAAATGGCTGTGCAAAGTTCCTATATAAAATAGTTTTCCTCTCAAAACAACAACAACAACAACAAACACTGAAACTAAATGAACACAAAAAAAAAGCTCACTACTGAGATTAGCCATGGGCACAAAATCACTTTTTTTAAATTAAGTTTTAAAATTTTTATATAAAAGGGGAGGAGGTCTACACCATGAAATGCGTATGTTATTGCTTTAAAATGCCGGACCTGCAGAGACTTTATATCTCAGTTGAGAAGGTCTCTGCACATTGCATTTTTTTCATTTTAACATTTTTAGCTTTAGTTTACACATGACCAAAAGCATGAGATTTCTGCTTTTTAATTTTATACATATTGTTCATACAGTATTCAGCACATACCGAATATCCGTATTATCCTTATAAACAGATTCATTATTGGACTACCAGAAGTAACTTACAGCTAATCAAATAAGTTTGAAAATTAGTTTAAATTGTCAATTTCCTGAAATTTGAGATTCTTCTCATTTTGCATCTTTCTCCTGAAGCCTAAAGTCATTACTCCATGTGTGTCTCTTAACATCTTAGAATTTCTAACAGTTTTATCATTTATTCCCATTTCTCCATTTAACGTACGTTAAATTTCTCTGTGCTCTCATCTTAACACCCTCCCTATCACTGAATACAATAAAAAGCCAAACAAACAAACAAAAAACAGATACAAAACTCCCAACCCCCCACATGGCGGATATGGTCCAAACTATTATCCGAGCAGTTAAGACACTGAGAAACAGAAATCCCTTAAGAGCAACTTATTTTAAACCTGTACTTTATTTCTGGATGGAAGTTATTGTTATTTCCTAAAGATGAATGTCAAGCTTACAGATAAAATAAAATGATGTAATACTCACCCGTTAAAGTACTAGGATATGAACTTGGCACAGCTGAAAATGAAGATGATGCTCCTCCAAAGGGTGTCATTCCTGAGGGTCCTCCAAAGGGAGTCATGGAAGGACTATGAAAATTCACTGTTGATCCCTTTATTGCCGGTGATTGTGTTGCTTGGCTTGAGTCTGATCCATAGTGGCTGGCATGGGTACTAACAGGTTCTGAAGTATTATCACTTCTGTACTGTATGGCTGGACCTTTGTCTTCTTTGCTTTTAATGCACCCCATGGTTGCTTCTGTGAAAGAAAAAGAGAAAAAAGTAAGTTCATCTTTATCTTGCATCCTCTTGACAGGTAACGCGAAGATACATAAAAAATTCTTTTAAATACTGATATATCACTGTAAAAAAAATAGCAATAAAAATGAGTTCCACTCCCAGGAATTGTTACTACATGTAGACAACATGTTCTGGAAGAGCTAGTAGCATGTTTGGATTATTCTTCATATAATTCCTTGGTGGGCTGCACATGATAAAAAGAAAAGGGAGACAGACAGACAACAAGCAAGGCAAGAACCTGGGACACTGAAAACTTGTACAAAAAGGGAGACCGGAAAGATTAGGACTTTTGAGCAGAGGTAACAAATATGGAGTGATACGATATAGACAGTTATTGCAACAAAATAAGTGGGAAATTTCCGTTTTGTTTTTTTAAGCACCTGTGCAATGAGGTTCTAATCTCCTGATTATTATAGCAGATTATTACAACTAAGGATAGCTTTAAAGAAATAGACACGTTCTCACTCATTTTCCCTGCCTATACAGCTCACAACTGAACCTGTAATACTCACTGCTGTGGAACAGGACTAAGTACAAGAGTCTAAGCAAAATGACTAGATTAAAAAAAAATGACAAGAGTAACCATCCCATCCACAGTAGTTTAGAAATGGAACTGCAGCCTGACAGGTGACAATTTTCTAGCCTTAAGCGCTCAAGACTACCTCGAACTTCTACTACAGGCAGACTGTTCCTGTGGGAATAGCTGTTTACCGCAGGGATAGCTGGTACCTGGGGACAGCTCTCAGACAGGAGACCTGCCACAAACAATTTACTGCGGCTTAAGAAGTCCCCATCTGCCATTTGTCAGGTGGTGACAACTGATAGCAGCATCTTCCGACTTAACCCCACTGGGACACAAGGGATGGCAGAAACAGGAGTCCATATTAGATGCAATGCTAATCTCGCATGAAAACTCCTGTATTCCCGAAACAAAAATCTACTTTAACTCAAAAGCCCAGAAACTTCCACAAAAAGAGGAAGAGTTGTTCTATATTTTTTACATGATTTGTTACAGAAACAGCAGCAATTTGAATGCATTTAAAATCCTTCTTTTTAAACTGCAATGGGTTTTACAGATTCTTAACTAACAATGTAGGACAAACAATTAGGAAAAGTCTCCCATTACATGCCCAATTATTTTTATTTTCCATTTCAACTCTCTCTTACCTTGTTGGCTAATAGAAACAAGCATCTGGAATAAAATAAAGCTTACTAAACAAATACTAATATACTCACACTGGGACAAAACATGGTCCTTAATATCTTCTGATTTCCTCTATCTAAACAACCATTAGAATATTAATGTTACTGTCTGAAATTTACTGACCACAAAGCTAAGAACACTCACCCAACACCTCTACCCCTGATGGTGCAAGGTGCTACAGACTGACAGTGGTGCAGAAATGAGCAGTGGTTTTGAACAAGAGGTTAACGGGATTTCAATCACCTTTGTGAAAACACATTTGCTAGCAGTACTGATGCAAGTCAACTTACTTGAGCAAGTGGACACAGTGCCCATGCTGCCGCACACATGCGTTTCAGGGTGCTTATAGCAAAATGTTACCATTGGTTTACTTTAACCAAAGGCAAGACCTGCCTGAAAACGTGAATTGTTTAAGGGAAATGCAGTCAACAGCCTCTTTCCCCTGCCTCTCCCCTTCCCTCCCATTTCATTGTTAACGTGATCTTGTAATCTTCATCCAGGCCTTGGAGATTAGCAACAGAGATTTAATCTGCACTTCAAGGACAAAGAAATAAACACACTAAAATCTAAAAGTCCTACTTCTACAACTGCATACTGACAAAAGTTATATTTTTTTAAAGGAAGTAAAACATTGCTTTTAAAAGTCAAAAAAAAAGATGGAAAATTCCTATAAAATACTGTGCATGCTTTCACAGGGAGGGTGTAGGGGAGTGAGAGAGGGGATGTCAGAAGCAAATGGAGAGCAGGATGCAAGGGAAAATTTGACCGGCCACAGTACAGACAAGAAAAAGATTCATTAGGGTTTAGTCTTGCAATATATCACTGCATAAAGCACTTGCCTCCCCGCTAGCAGGCAGGTAGTACATAGTGTCAAGATTTGGTTGTTCTAGTACTTCATTTGTTATTAAAAATTTACATTGCTGAAAAAGCTTACAACCAGTTTTGTCCCCCCTCCTAACGCTTTTTCTGAAGCACTGACCTCTTTTCAGAGGCAGAGATACCGACAAGAAGTTTCTGTTTGTTCTGTCCATCCATTCAAAGAAAGGTGGCCCAGGGTAAGCTATTCATGGCCCTCTGGTCCACTCCCATTACTTAAATCACTGTTTTAGCTCAGTCTGGCGTCTGAAGGAGGCTAGTTCAGTAACCTGGGAGAATCTTGCTTGTTCTTTTAAAGGAGTACTATTCACCTCCTTCCGATTACTCTAAGAGGCAGCCACTACAGGAGGGTTTAGGGACCTACTTGAACTTTAGCCACAGGGTGACTTCTCCAAAAAGCCCATGTCAGATGTGTCTCAGCATACTACAAACACCTCAGACAACGAGGAGGGCCCCTTGAACCCTCTGCCAAACTGAGGGCTCCAAGAAAGTCAAAGCTGCCATCTTTTCTTTCCCGGCTCAGTTTCACAGCAGATTATTACAAAGGAAAAAACTCTACTCAGCAATGATCTCCGAGCGCGGCGGGTCAGGTCTTTGCTATTTTTTTTCCTGCTTTCGTTTCAATACAGATGTCCTAGCAACCAGAGAAAAAAGGCTTTTTCTCCAGAGCTACTGTATTCCAAGATAGCGAGCAATTGTTTACTAGGAGCGTCGGTGGCCATCTCTGCACCAGGGGCAGGTGTTGCAAGGGTCTCTCATCCAGCAAATGTCCTTGTAAGGTCTAGTTTATGGTTGCTTAAGTTGACCATTTGCTGGTTTCCTGGAAAACAGAGTTCTCCAAGCACACCAAGGAAGCTCTCCTGTTGAAATGATGGAATACGCTAGATGTTTCTCTGATAAAGGGTATTTTACCTTGGACAATCTTTTACAGCTAGAATTCTCAGGGCAAAACAGCCTGATGATGCCTCAAAAAAGCTTAAACTACCTTTTCCCATAAAGGGAGTTGTACCATCCAGACTCTGAGGGCCAGAGCCTCTGAAATCCTGAAGACTAGAAGCTGGAAGGGGCTTGTTTCACCTCTTTTCTGTAAAAGACTCTTGCAAAAACCACTACAAAAATCAAGAACGAGGAGTTTCTTCCTGGGGCCAGCTGGAGGTGTTCTTTTCATCTCTCCCTTTTATGATTCATCATGTCCTCATGAGTCCTCGGGAGACGTCTTCCAATTGTACTTCAGTGACAACCTCACGTAGCTCTATACGTGACCCAAGGACAGTCTCCCAAATTTTCTCTTTTCTACCTCTAGACTAACCCATTACTAAACCACATAAGAACCAAATGCAATAGGTAGAAGGGAAATATCAACAGAAGGGAAAAAAAGGGCATTTCTCTCCTCACTTCCTTTCAATTACTGAAAGTGATCATGCAATCAAAACCAGCATGTAATTCAATTTTTGCTATGAAGACTCAAATGAGCATGCCAAATCCTTCTTCAGAAGGATAAAGTGAAATTGTAAATATCCTATCGCATAAAAATCAAACTGCACTACATAGTAAAAAAAAAAAAAAACACCAACCAAACAACCCCTCCTCACCCCAACACACACATAAGAATGCCCTTGGAGGTTTACCAATTGCTAATGAAAACATAAAGAAGTTTCTACTGCTAATCCATCTGCACTTCACAGTACAGGGAAAAAAAAAAAAGAAAGGCAAGAAAACAAGCCTTGTTTTACAGAAAGGTCCACTTATGTTTCAACCAGAGTCACGTTTTAAAGTCATTAAAATTTCATGCAGTAATGAAGACAGGATTTTTTCCATGAATTTCACTAATGGATCCATTAGCTAACAGCTGACCATTTGCTTAAACAAGTGCAGAGCTGATTTTGTATGTCACTGGAGACATGCAGCCTATACTTGCTTTTTGTACAGCTAGGCAAACAATGCAAAGCATTTGTCAAACAGGTGGCTTCAGATAGCAGTATTTAAGAGTCATTTGTTTAGACCTCATATAGACTGCAAGAGAGGAAGAAAAAGATAACACAAAGGAGACTAATGATCCTTTTTGCCATTACTATAATATCTGACTATTTCTGTTCACCTTTTAAGAACATCAATACTTTATTTTTTTTGTATGTAATCAACCATGCACAAAGGAAAATATACTGAAGAATAAGCAAAAGTGCTTTATGTTTTTACACACTATACACATTTTTAAATTTTGAGTTACTACGTGATGTATTTTATTTCTTACGAGCTGCTATAAGTTAGTTTGCTTATTTTACTAAGAACAACCCATGAAATTTCAAAGAATGATGTTCTAGTGGATTCAGTCTTTGCAATGAGCGGTAGCACTGAGACCTCCGTGTCTATTGTTATGCAGTTAAAGTGCAGCTGACAGTGAACTTGGGATGAAACAAAGAGCAAAAAGGGAAGCTACAGAAGCATTAAAAAAAAGGCACTGAAGCAGAATTTTGGTTATTATAATGTCAGTCTTTAGCACTCATCTAAAAGTGCTACCCAGAAAAACAAATATTAAACAGCACTATTACATCTCAGGTTAGCCATACACAAAAATATATTTAACACTAAAGAGACATCCTCCTTTACAACTGACTAATACAATTTGAAATTTTTGATTCTAATGTTTCTACAGACCAAATCCTGCTTTCAGCATATTCAAAGAGCAAATCTGTGGCTGCTGTGATAATGCTTGATTTCATAGAAGCAGAACAAAACCCAGTTTGGCTGCTAATAATGCTATAGCTGGAAAAAACAGTGCAGCAAACAGAGGACATAGCACAAAGGAATCATAAAACTGCTTTTATATTTGAAATAACTTTGAAAGAGTTAAAAACTGTTGCAATTATTACATCTAT